CCATAGCTGTTATAATGTTTAAGCTTACATTGAGGATCATAACATTTTTTAATTTTTTTGTCGGTATTGATTGAAGTCGGTTCAACCTTTTTTTTAAGGATTTATTTTACCATTTTTAATGTAAGATATGTTTGGCATGAGTAGATAAATACGATATTTAAAACACTACATACTGTAATGTATATTAACAACTGTAGTATGTTAAAATATTTTATTAAATTTAGTGTAATAAGTCCGTTTTTTATTTAGATTAGGTAGTAAAATGTTACATTTGAACCCAAAAATATACTGTTCTGTACCAAATATGAAAAAAAAAAAAGAATTTTCCAAATCGGTTTACAAATGAAAGAGTTTTGAGGTAACAAACATAAAAATAATTGCGTAACCTTTTTTTTGTCTAAATGTTTTGTAATCTCATTTCTTACTCTCTTGTGCACATATCTTGAAAGAATAAAACAAGGTCAATACATGATTAGATTTTTGAAAGCGATATCCTCTAACTCTTAAAGGTCAAGGTTCCATCCATCATCAGCTCAGCAACATGACATAACGACTACTAAACGCAAATACCTAAATAGTTAGAAACAAGCTAAAACCCGTTGTCAGGGCTGTAAAATTGGAGGGATTACCTCGTTTTCTCTACTATCCTATCATCAGATCCTGATTTAGTTGTAATGGAACCACATCTGGAGTATACCTACCCTTTCGATTACAAATACAAATTTGAAAAAAAAACGTGCCAAATCGGGTTATAAATGGGAGTTTTGAGGTAACAAACATGAAATTATTGCGTTATGTTAATGTTTTGTAATCTAATTTTTTACTCTGGATCATATATCTCTGTGACCCAACACAAACACCTTAAAAATATCTTGAAAGAATAAAACAAGGTGAATACATGGTTAAATTTTTAAAAGAGAAATCCTCTAACTCCTAGAGGTAAAGGATCCCTTTCAATTACAAAAAGAATTTTGAAAATCGCTCCACAATTGACAGAGATATCGCGTAATAAAAAACATACAGTGAAATTGAGAACCTTCACTTCATTCCACTCTGTTTTCGAAGTCGGTGTAAAAATACTGTCTATCGGCGTCGTATAACAGTTTCTTATGGCATAGGAGGGCAGACAACCAGACCGCTCACCTGATGGTAAGTGATTACCGCTGCTCATGAACGAAACTCCACTTATACTTACTTTAATTAATAGTACAGTGCTATTAATTAAAGTATTTAATTTATACTTTGCTATTTTAAACCGGTGTATTCATTTATTGAATAATTCCTCAACTGAAAGTCATAACGCTATATAACAGTGTGATTATTATTAAGCATGCATGGTAATAGTTGTTAAAACAGAAAGTAAAAAAGTGGTTTCTTGCTTATTTTAATACAAGCTTTTGCCTGCGGCGTCGCCCGCGTACAAAAAGTACCTATAGTCCATCTAATCTTATAGGTACCGTTTGACAGTTCTGACACATTGAAGAATAGGGAAGGCGTCAAATAAATCGAATACTACAATATTCTTAAGAGATTTCGATATCATTTCTTTGAATTTACTAATCGATTTTATATAAATATGTATGTCACTGTAAAATGCCCTACATTTTTATATCTTAGGTGTTACTAGTAAATTTTAGTATATAAAGATGAATGTCAGAATTTTAATTTAAGTATTATTAAATAGTAAAAGACCCTGGATTAAAAAGGGCTCCTTATTAATGAAGTCTATAATTCCTACATTTTTACGATTATTTGTATACAAGTGTATTTTAAGAATCGCAACACTGCGGTAAAGGACCTAACTAGCTGACTTTGAAACGAAGTCTTAGAAATACTGCTGTCTATTGCATATATTGATTATTTTGCATTGTTTAAAAGATTTAAATTTGAATTTAGTAGTTAAGAAATAAACGTCTTTCGTTAAAATCAAAGTAGCTTCATATTTCCTTGGTTTTACTGAAAAGGTTATTAAGGCTTAAATTATGTGAAATTTTTTCTTCTTTCTTTCAAATTTGTCTTTCTTTCAAAATTGTTTCTTCTTGAAAAGAATGAAACGTCAAACGGTACCTTACAGATTAGATGGACTATAGTCTATGTTACTCTCTGATAATGTTAAGCGGCTTAGTAATTTAGTCGTTAGTTAACAAACAAACTCCCTTCTACATTCATAATATATGTATGGATACGGTGCTTAACTCTATTAAAATTGTTTTATGCAATTATCTTTAGTAAGCCCCACATCGAACAGCTCGTAAATGATATTACAATTACGAAATGCAGTAATTAATTCATTCAAAAACGTTCAAAGTCGTAAAAACAATAACTAGGAAGTGTTTTTTTCATATTTACATACCTATACACACGTCTTATTCCCGTCCAGGGTGGGCAGAGATAAATGTAGATGTAACTACAATATCGGATTGGAATTAGTCTGTAAGAAATAAATAAATTAATAAAATAAAATTTAATGTAGATATTTTCACACACACGAATCAACTTATAACCTCATGAAAAACCATGCTAGGTTTAGAAGCTCACAATTTATTACTATGGCTAGTTATCTCTGAAAGATCTTAAACTAGAGATCAGCGCTGACCAAAATATTTTACATTATAATATTTTGAGAATTTAGAAAGTGAATGGTATGTCGTCATTGCTACATCATCCGGACTTTATTACGTCAAAATAATTTTATTTACACTTTCTCTTAATTAAAAAAAACACTAATAAACATAACATATATAGTTATACTAAGAAGTAAAGTACGAAGTATAATCAAATATATTTCATATGAATGCTTGAAAGCCAATACAAATAATGAGTTTTTTCTATAACCCTATCATTTTTTTTTAATAATTAATTATAAGAAACTCAAAATAATTAGGTTTAATAGACAGAAAAAACTTTTCATTGTACGAAAATAGAAGACATTCTTTGTAGACAAACTAGAGATCTTCTGATAATAATCAGAGTACAGTTGGAAACTGGTGTGTAGCTCTAAGCGGCAGAATTAAGAGGTTCTTGGATTCTAATATTGTGCGGCAAGAGATAGTCAGCAACAATTTTTAGAACAAGAAGGTATCAAAGTAATAAAAAATAGGTAACAGGTTCCACTAAATGGTCCTGATTCCTGCAGGAGACTTTAAAGGGGGTTGTGTTGTCCATGGCCCTTTTTGGGGCCCCTTCTACGAGTGAAGGCTCTGAGGCCCAGCAACGACATACTACTTGATGCTGGACATCAAGTAGCGTCGTAGGGTCGATGCCCTTTGAGGCGGCTAGTCTCCTTGCCGAAACGCTACCATGGGACGTGGAGGCACGTGATGCCTAGGGTACAGATGGGTATTTAAATAAGCCTCAGTGCAGTTATTTTATCATGTGAGCACTGGCTAATTTCTTCAAAATTATACTAAACCTTTTAATCAACTTTTGGTTCACACTCGTAATTTGAGAAGATCAAACTTGCTGAACGTTGGACGTTCGTATTTCTATAATATTTTTGGGTAAAGCCGCAATAATCATACCTTTTAATTTTAAAAACTTACAGTGAAAACATTCTTTCACGCTTTTCTCTCCTTTATTATTAGGTAGTCAGTTACTCCTAAAAAAGAAGAAACAAAACTAAAATCAGCTACCGTTCAGTCAAAAATTAATAACCAATACCCCTAACTTCTAATCCCTGCCATTTTAAATAGAAGATTTCGCACTATCTGTTTAATTCTAATCTATATACTACATATTTATAGGAGTCACTAAAAACCAATAACTGTTGCTGTAAAATCCCCCTAAATGAAAATAGGCAACGTTTGACGTCTAATATAAGAAATACTAGACGACTAATACTACTTTATTCGCCTTTTACTAATTACACTTCCTTATACTATACTACCTTGTGCCTAAAGGTAATGAAATATACCTTCAATTTATTCAATCGAATAACAATAATCGTCGAACTATAATTTAAAAAAAAAATTGGCCAAAGGCTCCATAGTAAAGTATACACCGTTTGGCAGGAAGGCCTCTTATGAAGGATTGGCTCGAGAGTCAACAGCGAACCCTCTCATACCGGCTGACGCACGTGATCACCGTTAAAGGATTAAGAAAAAAAAGATCACCTGTGTCTAATCCGCAAGGAGCTAACGCCTGAGTCCCAGCACTGCGATAACTCGAACGTGAACACACGTTAGCAGAATGCCCGGCGTAGGTGGAGCAGAGGCGTGACCTGACGGCAATCGGAGTAGGAATTTTTTCGCTCAGTACCATGATTGCGCCCATAGAGTCATGGAGTAAGCACATAGAGTGCCGCCTGGTCCGCCAGGTACCGCAGGCGACTCAGGTGTCTCCGTCCTCTATAAACGCAGGCCTGAGGCCTGATAACTATAAAAAAAGATGTACTTTGAAGTAATTAAATAATAATAATAATAATAATAAATGAATGTTTATGCAATAATAAATTGTCAGTATTCAATTAATTCAACACAATCAAATGTTTTATCTGTTTATGAACAAACTAATTTGTCCACATCGTATTAATTATATTTTTTTTATCGAAATGAAATACCTTCTCACTTCATGAATAATTTAGGAAAATTGTGTCCTTAAATTACGAAGTGTTACACCTAAGTGGTGATTTAAGGCTAATAAATTGCAGAGTAATTTAATGCAAAATTACCTTGAAAGAGTCAAGCCATTATTTCTAAGCGGCAAAGAATTCTCATGGAATTTATACATTTCACATTTATAGTTCTATAAGCTAGGAGTTCAAGATGGAACTCAAAACCGATGTCACTCCAGAGAAGAAATACAAAAATTTCAATGAAACTTTCAGGATGTGTGCTTTCACCATGGCTTTCGCTTTCCTCTATCCAAACAGGACTAACGTAATTAGAAGATTCGTTGTAATTACTTTGATCATTACCTTCAACGGCGGCCAACTTTTTTGGTTCACCACTTATACATTTAAATGTCTCTATACCTTAGACCTTTACAATTTTTCAAGAAACATGACACTAGCGGTGGTCCTTGTTTTGTTCTTTATCAAAACGTACTACGCAATCTACGCAACCCATAGATTTGCTCCTCTTTTAGATATTATATCCAATGATCTGATCAAAGCTAATGATATGGAAGAAGAGTACCAGCGTTTATTCGATTCACATATAAAAGAAGGAAAAGTTGGTGAGATTGCATGGCTGTTTATTCCAGTAATGATGAGCATACAGTTTCCCTTCTATGCAGGGTTATTAATGAGTATTGAGAGCATACAAACAGATGATTACGAAAGGCGTATGGTACACGATATGGAACTGATATATGTGCGAGATATTCAAAGTGAAGCACCTTTTTTTCATTGTATGTTTGCTTACAATTGTGTACAGTGCGTCGTTCTTGTGCCTAATTTTGGATTGGATGGTTCATTCTGCATAGTAACTACTCATTTGCGCCTGAAGCTCAAACTTATAACTCTGAAAGTAGAAAAGGCATTTAATACCTCACGCAACGTATACGAACTAAGAAGAAAAATGCGGGAAGCAATCCAAGATCACCAAGAGGCATTTGAGTTTTATGTTAAGGCTCAGTACATGTATGGAACCTGGTTACTAGTTGTTTTCATGCTGACCTCTTTTTTAATATCATTCAGTTTATATCAGATACATTTACTGCAGAGAATTGACCCGAAATACACGTCATTCATGATGGTCGGTGTCTTCCACATTTATTTACCATGCTACTATGTCAGCACCTTGACTAAGGTAACGTGATTGATTTCTATCTAAATAATATATGTGTACATTTTTACTGCGAAGGGTTACGTTTTTCGCGCGTATCTTGTATGTTTGTTTGTTATAATTTCTTTGTTACCTCGTACATATCTTCCAAGTGACTAGATGGATTTTAACAGTTAAGGTATAGTTATCAGCGTCTTAAAAACCCAAGTGTCCTTAGATGACTGTTGCGGAAAAAACAAATAGCGTATTTTTGAGAGAGTTACAACGGTTTCTCGTGCAGTGTGAGGTCTTACGTTATCATTTAGCAATAATGGTGAAGATCGATACTAGTCGCAGCTGTTTAACTGCCAGTTTCACCATCATTGTTCAAAGTTCGGCACAGTAAACATCTGCTGTTATTGCCTGACCAGCCCTAAGAAAGCTATAGTGAATAACACTACGAAGTGACCAACAAACAGTAACCATTACCTTTTTATTGGTTAGCTTTCCTTTAAGGCACTGCTGCGGCGTACGACCTGTGGTCAGTCATTGTATTTTCACTAACGGTTATCGTAAATAATCAACTTTTTGTCACATGTCACAATTCACGATCTAATATTCCTTTATTTCTGTACCGATTCAGCAAGGCAACACAAGTTTCAACACGCATTTCTTTCTGCAGATCAGTCAAATCATGAGGCACCCATTTTTCATATTTTTTTATCTTATTGATTTGATGCAAATGACTCGATATAGGTTGGTTGGCTAGCGTTAAAACATGCCGCTAATTCCTGGGTAGTTTTACTCGGATCAGCTTCCACCTTCTCCTTCAATTCAGCGTTATTCACCTGTGTGGGCGGTCTTCTACGTAATTCGTTCTTTAAGTCGAAGTTTCCATTACGAAAGCGTTTAAACCAAAAAGGCACGGTGCGTTCATTAGCAGTCTCCTCTCCAAACGTAGCGATGATAATGCGAGCCGTTTCTGCCGCGTTAGTACCGCGTTGGAACCCGTATTCAAAAATGACTCGGATTTCCATCTTTCACGTCTAAACTGAATAAAAAAAAACAATTGGAAGTCGAAAATCGAATGTTGTACATTTTTTGTTAAGAAGAACCTCATCCGAATATCTCACACCATGAAGGTTTTATGTCAATTCAAAATATCTATTACTATACAACGACAATTTCATTCTTTAACCCCTATTATTACTCGTAGTTCTATATTTAAATTTAATTAGGTATAACCAATCGGATTAAAAAGTTTTTGATAGCGTAAAAAAATTTGCTCGTTCATGTCGTTCTATCATATGAAATTAAGTACAGTTATAAATATTTAAAAGAAAATAAATAAATAAAATTACGTTGTTATATTTATCATTTTTTATTTATTTGTTTATTTATAACTTTATGCACATTTGTACATCGGCGGACTTAATGCCCAAGGCATTCTCTCCTAGTCATCCTTTAGGTAGTGTAGAAATCGTGAGTGGTAGGCGCATATAGGTTATAACACTAATCACTAAGATATACACTACACAACACAACACACGTAATTTTATACACAAGCAAATACACACTATACACATACATACACCCACATATACATATATATATACATACACATATATATATATATACACACACATATATATATATATATAAATACACATACACACACTATACATATATATGTATCTACACACATACAGATATATATTATTATATTCGTACCCCATGAGTGTAGGCAAATTGGTTGCTGCACTCTGCCGTCTTATTAAGAAGACGGTTGTGTACTTTCTTTTTAAATACGGAACGGTTTGTGGACATCCTGACTTCAACCGGGAGCTAATTCCAGAGTAGAACTGCTTGAACGAAGAACGAAGAGTTCACGAAGTCGAAATTGAATAAGAGAAGCAAATTATTTGCTTAACGAAGATTCCTGTCGGCATTAGACGACTAGAAACGGAGGTGCAAGGTTTGTAGGTGAGGATGGGGAGGTAAGAAATGAATATAAAGAAGTAAGAGCTCAATGGGTAACCAGTTTAGTTGGGAACGTAAGGCAGACATACTTTCGTCACACTTTCGAAGGTTGTAAATGAACCGAATGCAGTTATTAAGAAGGCGGTCCAGCTTATTAAGGAGGTATGCATTCAGGTCGAATTTTTTTGTGTTCGTCAAAAAAGATGTCAACATTTTTAGATAAGGCAAAATACATAGATTTCTAAGTCGCATAGTTTCAAAAAAATAATGTACTCCGTAGAATTAGTTCGACATTCTGAATCTCGCTATCGTTACGTTCGAAAGTTTTAGTGGATATTGGTTCTCGCTTAAACTCAAATAACTAATGCATAATATAAAGCAATAATAATAATAATTAATTCACAGATCTCACATACGGCAGTCTGATCCCAGGCAGAACTTTGTTTACTTCTTAGTTCAATCCTCGTTCGTTTCTTAATTTTTGTAAAATAGTATTTTTAATTATTAGTTAATTTACTTCAGGTTCATAATTAGTGTGATATAGATAAATGAACTACCTAAGTAATTATTTCGTATAAATTGTAAATATGGATTTGATTGTTTTAAAAGATTTACTGTCTTTTAGTTAGTTGTGTTTTCATATAACAGCAGTATATATTTTGGTTTCTTAAAATATTTTTGTTATTGTTCAGCTTGTTATTGATCAACGTTATTGTTCAGCTTACGTTTTCTATAGATATATGAAGTATTTGAATATCTCAAATATGTTTTGTCTCGAAAAACAAAAAGAGCTAAGACGGCTGCAGAAAAAAATAAGACTGAACCCCGTCGACCATGCAATAAAATGAAAGAGCTAATAGCCTAATTCACAGGCAGCTTCCCAAACACTTGAAAGAACTTATTGGTTTAAAAAAATAAGTGTCTGTAATTCAGTCAGGTACGGAAGGAAACTGGATACAGTGGAGCCAAGTTTAGTTTGTGTGTGGACACATAACGGAGTGTATGCCTAGTTTACCTTTATTTGATTTTTTCCCGCTTTGCTTAAGAGGGAAGTAGATTTATTATATTTCCAACTCTTTCAATTTACTTCTGATTAATTTCTATGCGGGTTCCTAGACAGTTTAACTTTTCTTGGTACTTCTCGAGTGTCAAAACTTGGTGTGTTCGTGGGTCACTGCTGTGATCCCAGTAAACAGGAATAAACTAGTAGACAGGTGGACGTCTGGGAAGGAGGACCCCCCGTCCCCTATTTCTAGAGGGGGTAATTCAAAGGGCGATAGTGCAACAGTGCGTTGTAGGCGACTGACTCTTTGAGTAGTAGGCGTCCATGAGCGGCGGCAGTCTGCCCGTTTGCCTCCGATAACATAAAAATAACACGGTAGTTGTATGTTAAATTACTGGTTTTAATAATACTGATTCTGTTTCTGTACTTTTTTACAGGTCGGCGAAGATGTTCCGGATGACCTTTACAGTGTTTGTTGGGAAGATTGGGCTGATCCCGTCTGCACTAATTTACTTATATTCATGATATGCAGGTCACAAAAACCTCTGATCTTGACGGGAAATGGCTTAGTTGTATACAATATGGAACTCTTTAAATCTATTATGCAGACTTCTTACTCGTTCTTCACTTTAATTACAGCATAATGACTTTAAAAAAAAGAGTAGATAAATAACATACACACATTAACACTTCACTGGTTACTACTGCTTTAATCCCCGAGTAGAGTATCTAGCAAAAAAAGCATTATGTACCTAAATGCTTTTCTTGCAAATTAATAATTATCGTTTTTTTTATTGACCTTTAATGCAAACTTTATATTTACATTTTACTCACTTATGTGTGTATTAAATAAAATGGTTGAAATATTTTCTTTTGTTTATTTTTTTCCCGATTTCAAAAAAAGAGATTCTGTAGTCGTTCCTATGTATGTACAACCTTGAATATCTGAATATCTACAATTTTCTCAATAAGTAATGTGTTAATTTTAGTTACTGTTTCACTGATGTCTATTACATATTTTTAGGAACGTTTCAGTACATAATACGTTAGGTATGAATCAGATAATTTGTTTACAAGATCAATTTCGGTTTTTTTATTCATTTTATCAATTATTAAAAATTTTAGAATAAAAATCATGAATTATGTATGCTTAACGCATGAAATTTAGTGATTTCGCTTTCATGTGTGTTTAGTTTCAACATTTGAAGTAATCTCAAAGATCTCATTACTTAAATACTACATTATTATTAAATACTCTAGCAATTTGATGTATCCAGAAACAATAAAAAAAAGGGTGGTTAGCAGATTTTGAATTTAAAGATTTGATTTAATTTGAACAATTGTACTAATCCTATTTGTGAGTACCAACTTGTCATTTAGTCAGTCTGCAACAAACTTGAAAGTTTTGTATTTCAGTTTGAATCTGGACCTAAAAAGTTTCTATAAAATAATGAAGGAAAACATAATATAACCCAGTACATTCTTTAAATTATGTGTATGTATTTTAATCACTTTTAAAATTAACGCATACTTAAAAATAAAACCCACATCAAAATTAAATTCTCTTATAGAAGTGACTAAGTCATTTTGGTATTGATAACATCTATTAAAAGCATTACATACGGAAGTCCATGCAGTTGTTTTATGATCATGACACAAAGTATAATGTACTCAAGAAAATAATATTTGATTGAAATTGCATTGAAAGTTATTAAGTGTTGATCTTGCATATATATTTATTTGCTCGTGTAATATCTTTACGAGTGAGTTATAAAAGTACTGTCTTCAACGTCGACAATGTCGACAGCCTTTAATAGTTCACTACTGGACATAGGCTTTTTCCTTACAAAGGAGGTTTTGACCTACTATTCCACGCTAGCCAGACGGGTTGATTTAGGGTTATTTTCAAGCTATCTTTGCAGGACTGTTGTCCCCTTAGTTGGCTCTTACGACACCCATGGAATGGGTGGATGAATAGGAGTCGTGAAACTCTGTATTGTTAATCCGTCACCACACGGACTAAAAACAACAACACACTAAACTAACATCGCACTGCGACATGTTATCGACATTGGCAATTTGATATTGTTTGTTGTTTTGTTTTGATCATTCACATGGCTTAAATGCGTTACTGTCACTGAAATATGATTTTTAAAAACAATGATAATTATCGATTAAATCCGAGTTTTCCTTAATCAGGCAACGTCGTGCAATAAAGTGACGGTCGCACCGTCCTATGATTTGAAGCACCGATAAGATAATACTCGTAGTTAGTTCGCTTTTCTTTCTTCGATATATTATTGAAAAAAGTAATGTACCACAATATATTTAACAATGACGTCAATTATATTGATGTGAAATCTATATGAAGCTTATTTTGCTTGATCTGTCAACAATAAGAGCTTCCGTAAAAATGGTTTTGTAAAGGTATTTGTATACTTTTTTATGGAATGGAGCAAACGAGTAGACGGGTCAGTTGATGGAAAAAGAAGATACTGGTGTCCACGAACACCTGCAACTATTGCCGCCGCCTTTTGAGCTGCCAGAATTAGGGCACTCAATCCGGTAAACTCACTCACTCTTCATAAAATAGTGAATCAGGACTGAGCCTCCAGTAGCTTGAGGAGGTCAGGTTCAACCTCAATAGGAATCTACCAGGGACATCAAAATATGAATTTCACAAGTGTGTCGCACAAGTGCATTTAATTTTATGACATAACAAATACAAATGGCTTCGTCAAGCAAGTATTTGATGGTATCCCATCATCAAATACAACAATGGGGTCAACTTAAAAATATAGACTAAACTTTATATTTCATAGTAAGTTAATAATAGAGACGTCTGATTTTTTTTTAAACTACAAAAACTTTATAAATGAATCAAATCGGATTCAAAATTAAAAAGCAAGCAGTGAATTAGATTTAAATAAAAAATAAAAATTTCATCACGTTTTATTAAACGATTTTTATGAAAGAAAGTGCTGACGTAGTGGCGTTTACATAACTGGATGGAACAAGTATGTTGAACTTGTATATAAATTATAAATCGGCCTGGAAGAAATCCGCATTTAAGTTGTATTTAAATATAGTTAATAACAATAGCTATCAAAAACTCCTTGTTATGTTACACATTGCGTCAACCCCAAAAAAAATGGGCAAAGGAAAAGAAAATCATGATGATGAACAATACAGACAACAGACTTTTGCTCAACCCTTTACTCGACTGGCCTGTAGTTTGGCACATCAAACAAACAATAAAAGCTCGTCGAACACCGTATAATAAAGATGAAGAAGAAGCCTCATTCACTGCGGTGCCTATGATAATGCAGTGAATGAGAAATGTGCACTAACTCGGAGGATGACTGTCGTGTAAGAATAAATAAGAAAGTAGACTCACTGTTATGATATCAGGTTAGGTTGGGTACTGTACGATGCTTGTATCTCTAATATATCCTGATTGATATCCTGTGCACTGTGCACAAATTATTAATAAAATAATATATATAAATAATTTTTGCTCGTTGTGTGTCTAAACTTCAGAGTAATAAACAATATATTTTTGTTAATAATATGGTTTAATGTTATTTAATGTATTATATTTATAATATATCCTATATAATATATCAACTGATAGTCTTAAATAAACTGTGATTTATTTAAATAAGTGCACAATCTAAATTGAATATTTGAATCAATTGGGCCGCATTACGTACGCTTCGATAGCGAGCACAGTGATGTAATTTACGGAGCATAACGGTACAGCCTGTAGAGCATGATAGCTATCGCTCACCGACGATAGCAAAAGTGTCTGCCGACCCTGGCGTACCCCCTCTCTGCAATTGGTGGGGATCGCCACTTCCAGCTCCCTTCACCTTCGCGCCTCATGCAGCGGTGCGACCAATGACCGAACGCCCCTGCCCGGCGAAAGGTTTTATATACAAGTGGAATTCGCACTGCCAAATTGCTATAAGTCAAAATATAGGGTAGTCGGGCGGTTGACTCTATCACGAAGCACTCGCCGGGTGTTCGTCGGAGCTGTCATCGCCTTTATCAAACGTGTACGTACACTCGTGCGCGTGATTAACGCCATTTGGGATTAAACGCGTCCTGTAACTACGTAGTGGCCAATGCACCGTCACTGGAGGTCCTTAAATCTTTCGTTTTAAAAAAAAGCCATCTAACTGTGTGATAAAATGGGGTGCAGTGGGAGATACTATTTGCTGACTCTGGTTTTGTGCGTTGTGACTGAACTTGCGATTGGTGTTAGAGTCGTGTCTAAGAGAAAGAAAGGTAAGTTATTTAACTATTTTTACTAAAAAAAAACAATCACACATTTTTTGTCAATTTTATTATAACCCTTAAATTTTGTTATTTAAAATCATCCATTTTATGATAATAATAATTCAAAGATGATAAGTAATAGCGGTTTCAAAACAATGATGGTCTTAATATTCGTAATCTTTGATAATGTGCAGCAGTAAATTGCACGTTACGTATTAAAACGTATTTTAACTTACCACATGCGAAGAATAAATGTGCAGATTTCATATCGCAACCGTATGATTTAAAAGCTACCACCCATACTCACTATTCTACTACTAACACTGTTATGTTCCATTCATAACACCTATTTTTTAAATCTGAAAACATACATACATATATAATACGGAGCTTCTCCATAACGACAAATTTTACGTTTTAAAAAGTCTATATCAGAACTTTACATAGATTTTTTTACAATTCAAATTTGGAACCAGTTATTTGATTTTTAAATAAGTAGAAGTTTTATAAGTCACTGGTAATATGATCTACTTTTTAAATTGGAATGAGGCGCTAAGACTAGTAAAAAGTTGTTGAGCTACTTATTTAATGCGTTCGAACTGGCTGGCACGTACAAAAAAAAACACGTTTTTTAATTTTCTTTTTTACCTACTTTTTTACCTACTTTTTTTAATAAATTGACAATTATAGGATAAATTCAATTGAAGATGATATAATATATTCTGCTTATTTAATTGGTCGTATTGTATTGACCGTACTAATTAGAAACTTGAGGTCTTGACCAAAAGCATTACTCTTTTTTAATCCGAAATAATTGTATCAAAATTTATTAATTTATTATGCGATTTTATTATCGTATTTCTACGTGGTGTCCACGATTTATAAAAAGATGAATGCAGAATAAAATTGGGTTCCCGAGCGGGCCATAGAAATCATCACAATCGTTTCTTTCACACGAAAGTGCGTGACAAACTGACAAAGCGAAATTCTCATTTCCGTATTTTTTACCGCAAGCTCAACGTGATCCACTTAAATTTACTCTACATTGTAATATTCGTATATGTTTCACGTGAAATGTTCGAGCGTACTTAAAAAGTAAAATTTACCTACCTTACACGTTTTTGTTTTAGACACTAATTAATGTTAAGAATAGTATTAATCTTATAAATCATTGTGACTCAATAGAAAATGAGATATTTAGGACTTAATTTTTTTATTTACTTTATATCTAATAATTAAAAAGCCATCATAAGGGTGATAGTTACTTTTCTCTCTAAATGCTACTTTTAAAAACCCTTATATTTTAAAATCTCTTAGTTTGATGAAACTACAATGACGCTAAAAGTAACATGGGTATAATATACCTATTTAAAAATCAACCAAACCTAATTAAACGGTAGAAAATATTCTTAAATAATTAAAAGTTTGATATTTAACGATATAGAATTCACTATCTTATTAAAAAATAACATTTCAGTATATTTTTAGAATAATTAATTCGCCAGATAATTTTTATAAAATTTTAAGTCAAGCATCCCATGACAACAAAGTTTTCAACTGTTTTTAAATTTTAATAATAGTGTATTTTTATTTATATTTTTGCCTTGTATTATAATGGGTTAGTTGTAGATACGTGTGCGTCTTAAATTTGACGAAAAATACGTTGAAACGATACGTTGCAAAAATAGATTAATATTAATACAGGCTTATCAAGTATAAAAAAACACTAAAAAAGCTACGCTAAGCTTACGGTATTTAAAAAAGGAACCACAAACCTTAGATAAGGAGATGAAATGTCAAACAAAATAACAGACAAAAGAAATCACATCGATAAGTTCTAATAAAAGTAAGCAGTTTTATTTTAATTATTTCCATTTTCTCACCTCACTAGCGAGTGCAACAAGGTTATGAGTATGGGTATAATGTTGCAATTTAAATTACTCAAGTCCCACGGTTCTCATACATCCTGTATCGATTGAATATTACCACATGTTCGTAATTTCCGATTCAATTATGTATTTCTTGGCGCAACGTAAGCTCTAAGCCTATTAATGAATGAACATTTTAGATACTTGTACTGTCATAGAGCATAATTATGTTTACTTCCACTGTACTAATGGCGTAGTGGTTTAAGCTGTCGCCTCGCCGCTACCTACTCGTACTTCGCTGATTGTTGCGGGTTCGATCACCATATGGTACTCGTACAATGCTTTGTGTGATCCACAAAGTGTTGTCCTGAGTCTGGGTGTTCTTTGTGTCCATTTCATGTGTATTTGTAAAGTCCCCCGCAACACAGAATATAGTCCCAAGGCGAGAGTTATCGGTTTTAAGAAAAAGAAGAAACATTTTAGATGATAACTTAGTTTATATGCAGCATATGTACCTAAATAATTATTGAGCTTTAGCCATGAGTGTTTAAACAGCTATTGCATGCAAGCTAAACTAGTGTTTATCTTCATACGGTAAATTTGAACGTCGTTTTTGAACTAGTAACCTTTCACATCTGAGTGCGTGCAAAATGTTATTACATTAAAAAATTGTATTAATGGTACATACCGATGGTCATCCGTTCACCTACCAGAGGATGTTTTACATTTTAGCATCATTTCATTGAACATTTTTTTTACAAAATTTTCTTCAAATAAACTCAAATGGAACTGGCTGCAGAACCCGTTTTTGGTTTATTACACTCAGAAATCTGTCACAGCATTTGAAACTTGTTTCCATGTTTGTCTAAGTTTGCATCCGGCGTCTACATTAATATCCGGTCGACATCCGTTCAGCACGGGGCACGGCAGGCATACACTTCTTATAAAATGATCTTTTCACTTTATAAATTATAAAAAAAAAATGTAACTTTTTATCTTGCCGTATAAATGTTATTTATTATAGAGAATTATAGGTATATTGTTTTATGTACATACAACAATAGGAGACAAGTAAAAATGATAAGTAATAATCTCTATAGTGTCTCTTCAACGTATTCTGTATGTTAATAAAACACTGAAAAAAAATATTAGCATTATACTGTAACTAAACAGCAGTGTCCTCTTGCAAGGAAAAATTACCTTAGAATAAACTTAAAAGTGGTATCTGTAAATACTAAAAACATTTTTTTTTATTTCTTCTAATAGTTTAAGATACATTTGCAACGAACTGAAAGTGAGACCAACTTGCAAATAAATCAGTGAGAGTGAGCCCGTAGTCCGATTCGCGTGCGCCGTGCATCGTCCAATTTTCCACGTTTTCCAAACGATTAGTCTCAGTGGCATCGGTGCACGTACCGGAAACTTCGTAATAGTTAGTTTTGAACAGATCTCGCTTCAATTAAACTGGTATATATAGTTTTTCTGTATTTACAACTACGTTTAAAAAAGTACGAAACATTTGATAATGTTAGCGACACAACCTCACTCACTATGTCAGTAGCAACGAAATAATTGATTAATATTGATTTTCTGTAAGAACGGTATATCACTTTGGTTGAGCCGTCCCGTACGGTTATAATGGCTGTTCCACATAAACTCTCAATCACAACAGTGTAACTCAATTTATTATGGACCCCTTAATATGCGACGGAACTTCTTACCTCACAAACCTACTACAACAAAATACTTAGCCGTTACAGTTCTTTTCCCGCCGCCTTTATTCAAAGTTAGAAGATACTTGACGTATATTGTATTTTTCTGTTTTTTTTATAAAAGACAACTCTGCACTAGGAATATGTCCTGTGTCGCGGGGGACTTTACAAAGACTAGATGAAACGGACACAAAGAACACCCAAACTCAGAACGACAATTTATGGACCAATACCAATATAACAGTACAATAACACAATGGTAGATGATGAAATGTAATTTTACGTCCGAATTTCAGACATCTTGAACACTTTTCTTGACCACGTTTACAAGCTCATTAATAAACACCCTCACGACACCGTCATCGCATATTGACTGGTTAATCATTAGTTTTGCTGTATTCATTTGCACTGGCATTTGCATTGACACTTTCATAAACGAAGCTGAATAATCTTAGCAAGATTTGACAGAACTATAATTTATTTTAAAAGTACACTTAATATTTGTCGTCCAAACAAAATTTAACTTATACAATACATCATCCATGGAGTAGGTATCCCATTTATAAATGAAGGAACATTTAAGCAATAGCAGGACATGGATGCATTTTTTTTTTAGTAGGATTAAGGTTACATGGCACAGGCAAGACTACCGACCATAGCATCGCTACATCATACAACAAGATTTATATAATTTCGACAAGTGGAAAATAATATTTTAATTAAATAAGAAAATACACCACCGAGGCAGTCAAAGTGACAATCAAACTTCAAACCTTTACAATGCGTAGACTATATTTTTGTAGTTTATGAATGTTTTTCTTTCAATAATCGATTAGCAACCTAAGTTACAAAAAGTGAATTTCATTTAGAAGCACTGACAGTGTATTACAATGTTGTATAAACAACGATTATTGGGGCGTTCCCATTTCCATATTGAATGTTATGAAATCAACTAATTGACGAAGAAAAAATTATTCCTTAACCGGAAGATGCGAAGCTGTAAAATATAATTTACATAAGATAACGATTACCTTGTTATATTTACTGATGCCGTTAAATTCAAACTTAATTAATATATGAATAGTTTTAACGGGCCGTTCATTACTTGATTATATTTTAATAATATTAACCTTAAAACTTAACAAATACACACACTTTTCAACACTTTCCGTTTATGCTAATGGTAGGTCAAAAATTTATTATTTATGACGTTTCGTCGTTTGAGTACAGAAACTAAAAACATTTTTTAAAGAAAGGTAATTTAAAAAGAATACCATGTCATGTTATTGTTGATCCTTCATTAATAAATTTGATACCTACTCCATGGATGATGTATTGTATAAGTTAAATATTTTTTGGACCACAAATATTGACTGTACTTTTTTTTGTCTTATTTACATAAAAATGTTATATAGAGTATAAGTATTAT